TTTTTAAAAAATGATTAAATATGATGGGCAATAAAAAAAAACCCTCACCCCACACACAAACAAATATCCCAAAAGCCTAATTTGCCTTCCCCTGTGTAGTTGGATATCTTTGATATTTATCTAAATTCATCTGTGTCACTTTTCAGGGTGTGCATGTTTTCTTCCATTTTGCCCCTTCCCTATTGAGATTTGATCTTCCTCTTGCCCTTAGTGATCTATGAGACTTTTTCTGGCTAGTGATAATTCTTTAATATATTTTTGTTCAGTTTTAATTTTCGTTCTCATTTATGTTCTTCAGACAAAAAAGCTAATGATATGTCAACTTTGCATTTTTTTCTTCTGTTATTTCTTTTTACTTAGTAACTCCTTTCAAGTGCTGACACAAATATATATGACATATTATTTACTGTTTTCTTTAGACTTTATTTATGTATTACATAAGTTTGTGACTCTCTTTGAAACAATTTTTTGGGTTAGAGAAAGGTAAAAATGTATCTTGTATTTGGTTTATCTGAGATTGGTCATTTATTAAGCAGTCTCTCGATTTTCTTCTGATTTATGGATCCACTCTGGCACCTTATACTAAGCCCCTCTCATGCTGGATTGGTTTTCACTAGTTGCCAGGCAGATAATCTCTGACTTGATGATATGCCACGATTCAGAAGAATAAATTCTTCTTTACCATTTAAAAAATCTTTCTTACAAGTTATATTGAGTATATGGTATTTGTCTTAATTTGCTTTGTAGTTTACAGTTATTAAAACTATGAACACTATTTTCCAAAATTTGAAAATATAGAAAACAATGATAAATTAACTTAGGGAAAAGCATCACCTCCACAAAGCCTGTCTCTGAAATTAACATTTGTTTTGTTTTGCAAGTGCACTTTCAGTGTCTCTATCATGAATACTTTGGAAGCTTTGCTACTATTCCTCTTTGACAAAGAAACAGGAATATAGATCAGAAAGAGCTTGTTCTGTTTTTCAGAATGGAAAGTTGTTTGATGCAGTTTATCATAAGACGGTATTTTTTTAAATCAAGAAAACATTATCTTAATTCATCTCAACATTTAACTTACTGTCTTTTAAAATATGTAAAAAATAAAGCAATAACCTAGATACAGTTATGCATTCATATATTGCTGCTCTTATATACTAAATGGTATTTTACTTTATTTGAAACATAATCCAGTAATTAATACATCCTAAAGATGTCCCTGGCAACATACTTGGCTTTGTTTTTATTATTTCCTAACAAGGAGCTATTTCACTTCTTTAAACACATTACAAAGTACTGTGCCATTTAATTTTCAAATTCACTTCGGTGTATATTTATTTATTCAACACTATCTTGGTGATAGGAGATGCTCAATAAACATGTGTCAAATGGGAGAAGAATGAGTGAAACACACTATTTAAGTAGAGTGCTATACAAATGCACATTATTAATAACTATGTTGGAATTTTTAGAAGTGGCTGATGCAGGAACAAATGAATGCCTTTTATTCACAGCAAAGCCTGAGAGATGAATAGCAGGCACATTTGATATGTGATTTATTCATACACGCTAGTAGGAGATTTATAGGCATCTATTAACCTACTCGAGTTCCAATTCTTTCTTAGGCTGTTCTTTGGTCATGATTAGCTATGTTGTCACTCTATGTTAAATAATAGGTTGTCTGAATTGAAATATGTAAAAAATATGCATGTAGATAGCCAAAATTATTAACCATGTATGTTAATTACTTTTCTCTTGTTGCTGAGACAAAATACTCAACACCCAAAGTTAAAGGGGATAGGGCTTATAGTTTGCAGAGGTTTCAGTCCATAATCTGCTGGATCTAAGGCAGGGTGACAGAGGGGTAACAATTCACAGTGGCAGAACACAGCAAAAACAGCAAGACACCTTAAAAGAATCTTTCTTCCCCTTTTATCTTATTCAAACAACTTAGGGCACTCTTGTCCTTAATCATAGTGCCCTGGGGCCTAGCCCCACCAGGAACCAATCACGTGCTCTAGATTCAGCCACCTCAGCAAAAGCCTGAGGCTCTGGGGGGCAGCTGAACGCAAGCCGTAACACCATGTGCAATGTTTCAGTGAAACTTTAGATCTATCTCTATCTGTGTGTAACAGAAATGAAACATGTACATACATTCACACAAAAACAAAGGATTCCTTTTATGGACCTGAGATCCATTGTTAAGAACAAAACAAAGGGGGGCGGATTTGGCTCAGTGATTTCACAGCCTGCCTCTCAAATGGAAGGGCCACAGTTTGATCACTGGTACCTCCCCAAAAAAACAAACAAACAAAAAAAAAAACAGGGGCTGGGGTTTTAGCTCAGTGGTGCTACGATGCTGCCTGCCTCACAAGAGCAAGAGCAAGGTCCTGAGTTTAATTCCCAGTACAAAAAAAAAAAAAAAAAAAACC